GGTAACTCATCTCTTAAGTTGGCAGTTACTAGTTAGTACAAGTAGTACTTCGTTGGGTACTTCCATGTTTGAACTTCAAAATGTCAGTCTTACTACGCTGCCAACCTAAAACTTAACGGCATAAAAAGTGTTCCCAACATAAAACATGTTAGTTCTAATGTTCCCTCTAGTTTCTGATAATGTATGAAAAACGCGTGTTACAATGCTTTATTGTAATACTCCTATCTTGCGGACACTCGTGGCTACCCTTCGCGTCGCCACTCGTGCCACAAGATAGTCGTATTACAATAGGTCGCATTGTAACACTTGTCTTTCAATATACTATTACCGCACCGTAACTATAAGTTTTGTTTTTTCTTGAACAGTAACTTCTACAGCTCCGTTAAATTTGCAAGGCAAGTAAGTTTTTTTCCGTTTCCGTTTCACTAATTATAAAGAGGGGGGAGGGGGGGGGGATATTCGCTTTCCCGCATTTGTTTTTCATTTGATTCCGCTGATTTGTATTTTGATGCTTTTATTTCCGTTACGGAGTTTGCCGTAATTCTGTTTTAGTTTTTCCGCTGTCATTTACTGTACCCGTTTTGCGGAATTGCCGTTTACACCGGTTGAATTTACACCCCAAGCGTCCGAGACCGACCCAACAGACCGCTGCTACCGCCACCGACCAGGCGCGAGGCCCTACGCTTGGTGGCGCTCGAGTCGGTCCACCCGCCAATTTATTTAATTAATTTGTGTATCTATTTAGCTTTCTTTTAAATTAAATAGTAATTATTATTCCGCTAATACATAATTAAAGCTCACCAACTACTCCAAGTCGTCGCAAAATTTGTTTTCGAAATATTTAGTTACGTTACGTGGGTGACTCCGAGGAATTTGTTCATACTACCTCATTTACATTTGGAATTAATTGGATTACATTGCTGTTGTATAAGAATTTAGTTATTTGTGCATCGTAACCTAGTTTTCTTGAATCCCGTTTATGTTTTCGTAATGACCGATTTGTGGTCGAGTAAAAATGTTGCTTTTACTAGTGTAAAGTCATTTGAATTATTGATTCTTATTGACTATTGATTATGGTTTTAGTACGAGTACCTGATTAGTGTTGCGCTATTCACTATTCCTCTTATTTGTTGTTATTTTTTACAGGTAAGGCCTGAAAGCGCCCTTTCTGAGCTCGAAAAGGTTGCCACGTGTTTTATTTTTTATTTTTGACGACTTTTTTTTACGTTTTATTACACACTGGTTTTCGATACAATCGAATTGTAATGACCACATTTGCTTGATAGTCATTTAACAATTATAGCCGCGTTGTTTTCTACAGAAGCCTGTTTTGATTTTAACAATTTTCCCTGACTACGAGTTGATCACCCCTTTTTGTTAAAAATTGATTTAAATTTAAACTTTGACATTTCAGATCTAGGTATTACAGTGTCCTATTTGTAATATTTTGAGATAATTTATTAAATCACCCTTGATTGTGGCATCAATTCTTGTTTATGTTCTTCCCTGTCCGTTCTTGCCTTGTTTCTCTTTTCGGTAAGTCTTCTCTTTTTAAATTTACTAAAGACTAAGTGGCGCCTATCGGGTTTATTATCACTAGATTTCCCTTTTGCTGCTGTCTTTGCTAGAGAACCTCGTTATTCACCCCGACCAACCTCTACTTTGCCTGGGCTTACCATGAGCTTATCTCGTGGAAGTTTTGTTACATTTGTTCAAAGTGAATGTAAAAAATTTTCTGCAAGTGACTTGTATAAGATAATAAGATTAAAAGAAATTTATAAGCGTTTTTTTTTATTGATACCATTCAAACAGCTAGTTCCCAAGTCTATTAAAAAATCCTACAAACTTCATAGCAACTTAGTAGCTTAAAACCCAAGCTTTTGTGCAAGTCAAAGGATTGAAGCCAAATTTGCTCCCGATAAATTTGCCATTGTAATTCTCACCACCAAGAAGACGTGCCTTTAGAAGAATTCGTTCCATACTACTCGCCTCTCAAAGATACTGTCGCTGTGGGTCTGCTCCAAAATGTTTGCCTTCAGACACTTACTCGATTATACAGTTTCAGAAGCACCCCTCAAGATCAAGATTAGTTGACCCATGGATTAAGCGCTATGTGCTTAATTATTCTGATGTGCCTTTCAACCACTTCGTCTAGCTCTAATATCGACTAATAATAGTGTTCTCTGTGTTTTTCTCACCAGGTATACATTGGTTTTCATAACCCCAAAAATGAAAGAAAGGAATGGGTGTACCGTGAGATGGATGCGCACTCTTTGTACAGTATCCTTTATACAGGGTGGCGTTTTGAAACCGTAACGCAACTGTATTCGAGTGGAATGACTTACCGATACTCAATCGAGCATGTCAGTCTAAGGTTTGGGCAGCACATATTTTACGAAATAAATGGTCATTGTTTCGACTTTTATAATGTTGATGCATTGTTGGAAAGACCTTCCACCTCTACATCTGTTACATTAAGATGAGTCAGCGCCATACATTTACTTTCTTTCGTTGCGGGCCTTTCCTGACCATTCCTATTCTGAAATTAAAAACGTTTACTTTACTGAAATTTATCTGTTATAATTCAGGAAAATCTGCTACTTTAGGTCCAGGCAGGAGTCAATACTGAATCTTCAGTCACAGGGATTACTCAAAGAAACCCTTCTCAGCTAAGGCATTCTAACTTTTCTCTGGAACACCCTAGTATCTCAAATGACCCACGTTTCTATCAGAGTATAACCTCATAACGTGGACATCTCACCTTTTTGGTAAACCCTTGGTGCAGACTTTGAACACCCATAGTCTCGCGCTTCAAAACTCCAATTTCACCTTATCTTATAGATAGCAAACCGTTTGCCAACTTATGCTGGAAGGCGCTATTATGGGAACTCCGTTCGTCTGTGCAACCGAGGCGGCGATTACTCCTACAGTTTTCAATATATTTAGTTTCTTCTTTTTGAATTGACGATTAATGTGCGCATGCGCAGGTTGCGTAATATCACCCTTCTTATTTATGGATATATTTTGTTGAAATTTATTTCACTTTCCATTTAGCGAGAAATAACTTTTAAAACATAGAATAGCTTGAATATTTTTTTTTATCTTTGAAGAGATTGTTGTCATACAGGGTGTTCCATTTAAAAAAAATATCATTATGGCCAATTGTTTTGCTTTTTACTCTAAGCGCTTACTCAATTGCAATTTACGTCCATATGAATAACATTACCCTATGATTTACATACTGAACTTAAAATGGTCATCGAACTATAGAAGGTTCAAATAATATTCCCCATTGATGGTGCAACAGATGATTCAATTTTTATTCGGGCGTTCACAATCGCAGCTTCTAACTTTCTCAGCAACATCGCTCACCCTTAATCCTGGATCATCTAATAGACGGAGAACTGAATACATGGGATGCGACATGTCTTCGGTGCATGAAACATTTTACCTGCAAACGATTACTGCCGGCAAAGCGAAAGCCCGACCGTCAGAAGACGCGTTGGAAGCTAAGGGCGTGAGCGGACCATCAAATGTGTAAATTTTCCAACTAAAGAACTGGCGAGATGAACGGCTGAGAATTGGCTAGAAATCCAGCATCATGGGAAGAATCAGTAAAAAAAATTGCCAGGAGAGTAAGTGGAAGCTAAAAGGTTGTCAGAAGCTGCCAAGGTTGCGAAAATTGTCGGAAAAAGAAAACTGCGTATCTAAAATCTTGGTACAAAATTACGACCAAATCGGTCTGTTCCTTACAAAGTTATACCTAATTCAATAAATATCGATTTTATTGCCAAAAAGGCGAATCGCTTCCAAAAGCTTTTCAGCTCTGGAGACCATTCTGTTTAAAATTTCACCCAAATCGGTCGGGTAGTTTCGGTTGAATCTTGTTTACAAGAATCATGCTGCACGCACTTGTTTGGACTCTTATGGCCGTTTGCACCTACAAATTTAAGCATAGCTTTGCTTAAGCGTAGCTTAAAATCCATGGCAACTATTGTCTCAATAATCGTTACCATGGATTTTAAGCTGCGCTTAAGCTAAGTTCCGTTTAACTTTGTCGATGCAAACAGCCATTAGGACCTCGATACGTGTAAATCCGGTGAAATTTCAAAATCGAATTGTGGAGTGATTTCAATAACCCCCCAATTTTTTATTGGCGAGGTTAAAAAGAATACTTACTGAAGGGGAACAAGGCTGGCTAAGATATTTTCGTTCTGGGCTAAAATTAAACCAATGGGGTGAAGGAATTGAGAGGGTAGAACACAAACAATAATTGTAGTCGCTTGAGCAATGAAAATAAATGACTATACTTTAATACAAAAAAAAACTAATTGGTTTCGAAATATTATAAACTGAAATATATGGCTTTTACTCAGATGTCAAAATCTAATAAGTATTTGTATTTCCCAAAATGTTTATTGTAAAATCTTTGTTTTGTTCGCTTATACAGGGTGTTAGATGACCGTATGTAAAAAAGTTGGGTGATAGACGGGATCAAGACAAGCAATTTTTCCAAATAAACCGAGGGTCCAAAATATGTGGAAAGGAAGGAAATAGTATTGGAACTATAAAAACTCTTTCTCTTTTCACACGGTAGTTTAAAATGTTTTTAAAATTCATCCTAAACCTATAAGCACTTGGTTCACCTTTAAAGTAAACGGTGAATGGCAAAGTTCCCAAATTTAATCATTGTGGTACGACGGATGTTGAGGTGAAAGTGTTTGGGAAGTATCAATTTTGTTTTCAAATGTCACGCTTTTAATATTGATTTAATATTGGCGAATTAACCGCGGCAAATCAATTTCAATCGATACTAGTAAACTAACCACACGAAAACTAATTAAAGTAAAATCGTGTATTTTCAATGATCCTGTTCGTGGATTTTCTGTGACAGAGACTGGTTGATGCAAACATGACTAGGATACCTATTGCATTATCAAATCGGGTCTTTCAACCTACCTTTGACGTTCAACCGCTGCTGAAATGTGCATAAAACCAAGTATTAAGATATGTATATTAAGGAGAAATAAACTTTCTTTACAAACACAAATGGTTTTTTACAAACATTATATGATATTACAACTAACAATAACAGGAACGGTATCAGAATTAGTCAACAATTTCATATTTACGTAAAATATATGTTTACTCCACTTCCCGATATCGCTCATGTTTGATATTATCCATTTTATATTGACATTCTTTTAGCTTGGTTTTTTTAAAACATTTTTTGTCGGTTAGGCCTTACAAGATAACAAAAGTTAGCTGATTTCAACGCACAAAAATTACAAAAATTAAACTTTCTATTCACATGGCATTCGTTTTCTAAATTCGCTACTCTAATATCAGAAAGCAGGTCACATCAGCTCATAATACCTTTTGAATTTCTTCCAAAATATGATATGTTTTCATTATTATTTTTTGTTGTCGTTTATTTGCACTACTGAGATATTCAAATTCACTATAAAAATTATATTTTCACGATATGCACTTTCACCGTATTGTTTTATATTGAAGTTCGACTTTCACTATAAAGTTTTTTTGTTATTATCGTTATTTCAGTGCTGCTTCCAACTATTCGCTTTGTAGTATACATCTTTGTACATGCTGGGGCAGTATTTGCCAGCCTGAAACAGAAGTAACCAGAACTTATCAACCGTTATACAACAAATGCATCTCATTCATTGATCAAGTTTGTTACCATGTTCTAGTTGTAGAAGTGAATTTGAGGTTTTAACTCAACTGTAGAAAAGAAACATTTTGGGAACCCTAGGATTTATGAAAAGAAAGAAAAGGGAGAATGGGCCACTTGTCTTTTACCAAGAGGAAACGTGTAAAAAACCTGTGTGGAATATCAAAATGCACGTTTTTAAAGTCCAAGTAAATTTTTTAAGGCATTAAAGCTTATTGTAAACCAGTGCAGCAATCAATTTTGCGTAAACCGATTACGAATAATTTATGCAATGTAACTTTACTTGGCATATTTAGAATTCTGTACTTAAACATACGAAGAGAATTAGACAAACAAATACAACTGAACTGATTAATTATACACTCGATTAAGCATGTAATTGAATAATCCATGTTGGTGTGTATGGAATCTGTATTAAGGGACTAAATTGGGTATTACATGCAAATTTATAATGTAGATAGTATGCGTCGAGCTTTTTCGTCTGTGTTTTTAACTTTATTCAATTATTTGGTTACCCACACGGTTATTTAATTCATGGAACACTGCAGCTATATCTAACTTTTGATAAGTGTAACAATGTCTATAGTAATTAAACTCAGCTTTGGCGACCTCTATTACATTTGCAGAACCACTTACCTAAAGGCATGCATCAATATAATACGGAAAATAGCGATTTTCATCGAAGTAATTGCAAATACATGGAACCACATGGAACTAATGCAAAGTTAATGATGTGGTATGGAGGAACATTGCAAATCATCAATGAATTACGACGAAACCTTTAGCCTTCGATAAGTTATAATACAAATTCTAATTCATTTCGCTTTTTTCTAATGCTAATTCTGAATTTCCACTTTTCTCCCAAAATGTCGTTCCGTAAATTAGATAAACGCGACGAAAGTAGTTTCATTAAAAATGCAGAAACGGGGTACAAAAATGTGGCGTAACATAATTGTAATATCACGGTTAATTTTGTGTTCGTATTAAATACTAGTACATCTAAAACATTTGATTGATAATTAAAATAAAATCATATTATTTTCTTTATGTTATAATTTTAATCGCGCGTGTTGGGGATTTTAGCGAGTCGATTCGAAGTGTATATTTCCTAATTAACGTGTGGAATGTTGTAGCCTAACGTACCGCACCCGGATGCTTGACATTGAAGTCAATGTTTGTTCGTACTGGACGATGGTGAAGAGGTTGAGGTGGTCTAAAGTTATTTCCTAAGGGGGCTTTGGGATGTTTCGCGTCTCCCTGCATCAGTCTCCGCAATCCGTGCATCTGCAAATAAGAAAAACTAATCAGTTTATTATTTGCACCAATCACAATGGAAGATAAAACCACATCAAATTTGACAACCACCATTAATAATAGTGACCAAAAGGAACCGCGACCGAAATCTGCAGGCAAACCGAGCTTAAAATCCGTTTTTCCAATTGGATTCAATCATATCCATGCCGTCGGATTAAGAATGCATTCCAAACAATCACTTGTCAATCATCCCCGTGAACTGTAAACCACCCAAGGATCACCATTACTCAAATTATATATAATTATATATTGTAAATTTTCGATCGGTATCTTTATTATCCATTTAAGAAAACCAAGTTTGAAATATGACTACATAAAAATTCAGAACAACAAACAGACTTTAAAGTTGTCGAAAACTTATGTAAACTTGTTTGTATATGGTTTGTTGTGTATTCTCATTTGGAGAAATTTCTGAGTTTGCAACCAGTCTTATAAGATTTTGTATTTGGTGGAATCAAAGCAAATTCCAATTTAAATTCATGTTAATGGAATCGAACTCAGAAGGTTTCCACTAGTTATATTGCGTTAATATAAACCAAAAACTAATGAACCATTTAAATTTAAGAAAGAGATAACCATTTCTCCTAGGAGGTAATGACTTCTGTCCGTGGTAGGTTGGAATTTCAGTTATTTCATAAAAAATTATTGTGGCTTAGGAGATGCATACTTAAGTGTCCCTGTCCAATTATTTTCGTGTCTATTTTCTTTCAATATATAAAATGTTAGCCATTTCCTTGTGGACAGGGACACTTGTTGGGTGACAATAAGCATAGGTTTAGATATTATTGATGCAGTTACTCCAGAGGGGGCGAATTCTCACAAACAAGGTTAGTTTGACTATATAAGATCGGGCAGTAACCCTTTTCCGTGTTCTGCGTTTTACCAGTAATGCCTTATAACTCTCTACATTGATTGCAATTAATATTTTAGACAGTATTCATCAGTATGATGTATACCTACAGCAATTTACTCTGCATTGTATTCTTGCATGACGTGCCTATGAATTAAATAACCTAATACAATATGGAAAGTAACGAATGCAATAACAAAATCGAAGTGATATATTAGGCGCGTGTATATGACAACAATGCAGTGGCAAAATGACAGAATGAAGAGAACGTACTAAATATAGAAAAATTAATAATGTCTTTCATAAAATGTGTTTGGAATCTGAAAAGCGCTTAGGGAAGTTAATGATTTTTACAAGTAGATCAAATCCCAAATAAGGTAGCGTTTCACTATATGCTAATTCAGTATATTTGCTCGAATTTTGGAAAACACGGTTATTGAGTGTAAACAGTACGAATACTGCATAAACGAAACCGATTAATGTATAAATATTAAATCAAATATTTGAAATGCAAATTGCTTCCAGTCGGGTTTTTATTGTACTAAAGGTTCCGTTTCAATACATGGGACTGATGCCCTCAATTACGACAAACAAAGGTTTTCAAAATCAAAATAGAGAAGACGATGACAGCTTCATAAAGGGTACGGTTGCAATCTAGAAATTTCTTTTCCGCAATCGTGTCGTACAGCAATAACTATAACTCAATCGCTCATCGCTTGGTGGTATAGATAAGAAGTCACTGATAAATTCAACATGTTAATCAAGCGGTCACCAGTTCGATACGCCCGCGTGATTCATGGGCCGTGGAAATAAATTATCTTAGGGCTATGACGAACCGACACGCAGCCCTTTGGAAACTTCAATAAAAGCGTTCATTTGCACAACAATAGCCACACAAATTTGCTGCTCTATCGTTAACACTGTTCCATTGCTTTCTCATTAGTAGCGAAGGCAACAGCATTTTGAATAATCGATAAGGTAATAATTATATCCCTATAACTTTTCTATTACCCGCGTTGATTGTTAATCAGTCAAATACTACGTTAAATGAGTTCTAATTAAATTAGCGGTTACTTTCACATTAACGAAAGTACGTGATGAACGTCACCGACAAAGCTCACTTTTAAGTTAGTTAAAATAATTAAACGTACACCAGACACGGGAAGTTTCTGCAGATTACGACATTGTTATGTGCGTTAAAATGTTTGCGTTAATTATTGGTATTGCAGTGTTAATATTAATAAATTAAAGTACCTAACCCGATGATTATCTCCCTTCTCTAACATTTCACTAATTACAAAGCTTCTCGTCAAACTGTTGTAACGAATGATAACGCGTAAATTTGCGTAATTAACTTAAAGTTAATCATCACTAATGGATCAGGCGATACTCTTTGACAAGCAGTCTTAACCGCAAATCACTCGCACAAAGGACTGGAAGCTTTTTTGAGGTGTGGTCAAACTAGATAGATCATCGTGCGGGTCCTTTACTGTCTTTTGCCGAGCTCGACATAGTTTGCCGTCATAGCACCGTTACAAATCTTGTCTAATTTCACAGATGGCGCATTTAAAAGTAGTAAATTGCTCTATGGGGGTAAAAAGAACCTTTGAAACCTCTTAATATGACGAAATTTCACTGAAATTCCAATTTTCCCGAGAGTGGGTTTTTTTTGGCAAGGTGTGCTAAAGAATACTCAACCACTCCAATACTGGACTCTTGTGCAGTCGTGGTCTGACGTAATGTCCTCTCTCAGATACCTCAACAAAAGTAGTAGTATGTCAGTTCCTCCGGGATAAATCACAATTCAATTTCATTTCTTTGGGACGTTCCCCATTTTGAAAAGAAGCCACTCACAGAAAATCTGGTATATTAATTATTATACGCTACACTGGAGATAATCGAGGGACATTAGTTCTGACCAAAACCGTATATCAACCGATAATGATCAATACGTTGTTGACTATAGAAGCAGTACAAAAAAGAAACAGAAGAGGATGTCACCTTTGGCCCACCGTAGGCTAAGGTACTAACGTGAGGTAGTTCGCCTACTTCTCACAGGTGACTTTTAGCATAATTATGGGAAACTAGTTCTTAATGGAGCCCAAAGTAAAACATAAAAAGGATCGTTTGCAGAGAATTTGTATGAAGACTAGAATATTCGCCGATCGTGCCATAAAGATTTTGACCTGACAGTGAACAAATTAAATCGAGAGTCAGATCATGGCGTGAAAAAAAAAATTCACGAAAAAGATAAGCTTCTGCTACACAGTCCAAAAATTGACGGAAGAGGAGACTAAAACAATTTTTTTTCTTCAAAGACACTAATAGGTGTGCCAGGAGCGAAGTCTCCAAAGATGACAAAATTAACTTTTAGTTTCACTTTTCCACTAATAGGTTTCACTATGTATTTGGGTATACTCCTTCCAATTTTGCAAAAAAATGTGCATCTGTAATGAGGAGCAAAGGCTGGGATATCTAAACATAAACATTACACGGTTCTGTCAGGTTTCTTTTAAAAATACCCTCAAAACATTGCACAACACCTCCAACTTTCCGAAATGATAATCCTAAGATGTTCAGAGGATTCGGAGAAAATGCAACAGGGTCCCTAACAATTTGAGGTACCTATTCCAAGAGTATGTTAAAACATTGCAATTATTCTAAAAAGTGTGATATTCTAACTAAAATCTTGAAAACCACTCACAATTATTAGCATGTTTATCAGTTAATTATGGAGATAATTCCCATGGAAAAGATTGCCTTAGTACAAGCCCTAAGTTGTAGTATTTTTGACCGTATATACAGAGATGTTCATACTGTAATACCCCTATTATTACTGTCTGAAGTTTCTAGCTTGATACAAAATAAACCCACATTTATGATGAACATAATTACGATATTGAAAAACAAATAAAATCAATTCAAATTCCACTGCTCTTACAGTTGTTTTTTATATTAATTACTCAATTAGTTCTATCGTGAATCTGGATCCAATCCAAAAATGTACTTAATACTTAATTATATTATACAGCAACGAAATTCTTGACGCTAAACTACTTATAACTAGCCTTTTTATACAGAGTGGCCCAACGAGAAGTATACAGAGGGCTTTTAGGGTATTAAATTGAGAAATTTCGAAAAATCCTCGAACACGTCAATTTTGTATTCGAGGGGGACAACTTTTGGAATTTAAATCACGAACCCAAGTCTTCACCCCTCTACGTAGGGAGCTTAACCCCTAAAATTTTAAATGGAATCCTATGGTAAATGGCACATTATTTGAAAGCCAATTTAATCGTGATTACTAATCTGCTTTGCTTTTTAAATTCTATTGATTCGTTTCGGAGAACTGACAGGTTCACTTAAGTTTAACAAACAAATTGAAGCGTCAAAATAAAATTTTAATACAAAGTGACTTAGATCGCATTTGTTTTGGTTTTTTTAGAAAAAACCATTTCAAATGCGAATTATGTCCGAGACGAATCAATAGAATTTAAAAAGCAAAGCAAATTAGTAATCACGATTAAATTGGCTTTCAAATAATGTGCCATTTGCCATAGGATTCCATTTAAAGTTTTAGGGGTTAAGCTCCCTACGTAGAGGAGTGAGGACTTGGGTTCGTGATTTGTATTCCAAAAGTTGTCCCCCTCGAATACAAAATTGACGTGTTCGAGGATTTTTCGAAATTTCTAAATTTAATACCCTAAAAGCCCTCTGTATACTTCTCGTTGGGCCACTCTGTATAAACCCATTTGCCAGAAACAACTGGAAAATGACAATTAAAATTCAATACAAATCAGTTCCTGGTTAATGAGTTTAAAAGAAAATAACTTTTAAAAAATAACTTACAATTAGACATTTTGTATTCTTCTCCTTCCAAGATGAAGAGGTGTGTTGTGTAGTGGATGATCAATTACATTATGTTGCCTCAGATCGGTGACTTCTGGGGGTAGTTGATATAGCTGAACCGTTTTATCCGAGGTTTTACCGTATAGTAAGTAAAAGAGGCAGTTTGTTTTCCCACACGCGTAATGGAAATGAAATAAAAACCATCGCGAATTAAAAGTGTCTCCGACACGTTAGTCTATTTTTTGACAAGCACAATTACTACTCAGTTTCTAGCGCCCATTTTGCACTTTATATACTTTTTCTGATCAAACGTTTTTCAAGCGCACGTTAAACTGAAACGCAATTACTTATTCACAG